GATCCTCTGCTGTTAAAATAAACTGCAGAAGCCCTTATTGTATTATAAATGCTACAAGAATGTCTCCCAAACGCATGGATTAATAACGGCGCCAAATGCAGTTTTTTTATGCAAGGCTTCCACTTCAGTTTCATGCAAAACCATTGTTATGGCTGTTTCTACATTCTTAAACTCGTCATAATTTTGGACTGATGTACATTGGAAGTGAAGTGTTGTGATAATAATTTTGGACTGATATACATTGGAAGTGAAGTGTTGTGATAATCTATCCGTCAATATATTTTAGAGTAAAAGACTACATAGTATGAAAGAAGAAATTGAAGCAATTTAACAAGTAATCACAAATTCCACAAACTAAATGAAAAGGAAATGAACAGTTAAAAATATAAATTTTAAAACATGTCATCTGGAGTTGGGAGATTGAGAGGGACAAATACATGCTCCCACAAATATTATCATCATAATAACATTAGCGCTCAAATGAGCACTAATGTAAAACCTGCATCATCTTACTGCAGATATTGATTCTTTTCACTAACCGCAGCATCCTGATTTTGTTGCAGCTTGACCGCCATTCGCTGCCGGATCTTGTTGGTTAATCTTGATAGTCTGAGGCTGAACCATCATAGAAGAAAATATCATCATTGAGTAACAAGAAAGAAGCAACAAATCTATGTACTTCTTCTGCAAGGTAACAGAATAAGTACTTGATGACAAGATCTTACTTCTAGAAGTTACACTTCTCAGGATTAAGAAAGAGAAAGACGGGAAAGAGTCAACAAAGTACCTCGGATCTAGAATCCGTGTCTGCAAGCCTTTGCTTGATGTCTCTTGCTATTGAAAAGAAAACTTCCTCCACGTTCATGTTTGTTTTTGCACTCTGCATGTGTTATTCGTTATAAGTAAAAAGAAATCACATAGTTTAATGAAAATGTGAACATCAAGCATACTGCAACTTACAGTTTCAAAGAACTTGATACCATACTCATCAGCAAGAGCTTGACCTTTGGAGGTAGGTACAGCCTAGAGAAAAAAGTAACACCTTATGTTTGTATCAATGGAAAATATAATAGAACAAAAACAGCAGAGAGCACGCATAGATTGCTCAATCTCAGATTAATAAATAAATGTGGTTTGCACACTAGTCAATCGGGGCAACAATTGTTTTGTCAACTAACATCATACCTCAGCCTGCTAAGATGTATAATGTAAAAAGAAAGGACCACCAAATGTACATACCCTTTTACTTTCATCCATATCAGCCTTGTTTCCCACAAGTATCTTGTTTACATTGTCAGAAGCATGCTGTTCAATATTGCGAATCCAATTCCTAATATCTGAACAGAAAGAAGCGAACTACATTGAAAATCAAAAGGCAGGAAGAATAAACAAAGGAAAGTCGATCATAAAAGAAAAACAGACCACTTCATAATCTAGCTAGTTAAATGTGAATCAGAAAGTATTGGAGTTACAAGGGAATAAGAGGAAATGGGAAAATAAGAAGGAAATACAATTTTCTGGGTCAGCCGAAGCCAAAATGAAGCTTACAATTCTCAAATACGAGTGCATATATACATCAAAATAAATTCATTGAAATATCTTTAAGCTGAAAACAAGACTAGGGAAAGGAGGGTACTATTGAAAGAGGCTTCATCAGTAACATCATAAACCAGCAAGATACCCATGGCTCCACGGTAATAAGCTGCAACAGAAAGTAACATTGTAAGATATGTTTTTTTTATCAAAGAAATGGAGCGAACAATAAGAGTAGGAGATCAATCAGTATTAGACTAAAGTAATTTTATAAAAGTATAAAACAGGTCCCTTGTGGACAGCCGTCAAAACTGGTAATGGTTTAAATTATATTCCTTCAAAACTGGTAACTTCTGTACAACAGAATTGTATAAAAATAAGCCCCTTCAAAACAAAAGCTACTGATAATACTTATATAACTAATTATATTAAAGAGGGCAAGTGGACAGCCGTCCATTAACTTCTACAGGAATGTGTGTAAACATGTAGGCCTATTAGTTATTAATTCCCAGCGTACAAGACCAAGTGGACAACTGCCAATTTTGAATTTGTTAACAAGTTTGCACAAGACAAAACACATACCTGTAGTAATAGTTCTGAATCTCTCCTGACCGGCTGTATCCCAGATTTGCAACTTAATGCGCTTTCCATCAAGTTCAATGGTTCTTATCTTGAAATCAATACTGCCATAGATTTTATAATAAGATAATATATTCATTATAAAATATACAGATATGTCTGGTTGTGTACTGTGTACAATTATTTATGTGTATATAATGACCAAAATCCGGTACCAAAAACTAGAAAGCAACGATGTTAAACATGAGATTTAACAAGTATACATCAAATTAACTCTTTGAGCCTGAGCTTGCAGTGTTTCTAAAGCATGTTAAAAGAGATACAGGAGCCTAATAAATAACTTACAATATATAATAGTGACGCCTAATAAATAACTTACAGTAGATAA